TGCAGGCCCAGCCCATGGGCCAGATTGGATCCTGTGCACCAGGATCGATGCCACACGCCCTGGGCTAGCTTGTGCCATCTCCACCTGGCTCCACATGCCAGGATCAGGACCCTGTGCTGACTTGTGTGTCCCTGAAGCAGGCCTGGAGCCAGAGAGAGGATAGGCAGCAAGGGCGTGGGGAGGAGAGGGGCAAATGGTGGAGGTGGCAGAGGCAGCAGAGGGGTGGAAGGAGTGGGTGCAGGGCAGAAGTAGTGGCTGCCTGACCCCCATCACCTCATACTCAGATCCAAGATGAGGGTTCCCCCCCATGTTAAATGAGGGTGTGGGGGGACAGACCCTGTATATGTGATCACCTTAGACCTCTCCTGCATTTTCCCACCTGTGGTCTCAGAATAGTCCTAAACTGCTTAGTGAGAATTGGCACCAACCTAGACCAGGGATCAGCAAACTTTTTAAGAATGCCAGACTGCCACTCGTAGCTTGGCCACTCTTGCAGGCTGCCGCTCTCTAGTGCTCCACAGCCCTCCTTGCTCTGTGTCAACACCTGATCTCACATCCCCCTACTGCAGCCTCTGCTTACCCTCACTACCTAGAGCTGCTGATTCCCATTAGCAATAGCAATGGAGAGCACCATGTCTGGCAGTGACGGTAAACAGAAAATGGTGGCAGGGTGAGAGCAGGCCTCAACATAAAGGAGGAAGGACTAGGGTAGTACTAGGTGGCTTGGGTACTGCAGCAGAGGAATGCACAGCTCAGGGGAAGAGAAGGTGCACCCACCACTGTGTGGTACTGCTTCTTCCTGCTGCAGGCCAGATCCAGTCTTTTCTGCCAGTGGGAAATAGGTTGCCAACTCCTGCTCCAGGATATTTGTTCTTTAGTATCTAAGTGGGAGCACCATTTTCCTTCTGGTATGCCCAGTCTCCACTCTCCTAAGGGCCCTGACAAACTCTCTTTTCTTATTTTTGATGCATACTACCGTGTTGCATCTCCTGCTAAAGGGTTGAAACCCAATTTTGAAAGCTGAATTTAAGGTGAAGTTCTGCTCTGGATATAAGATTTCTATAATAATCCCCTTCTACTTTTGAAATGAACATAATCAGAACTTCTATTGTACAATTTCCAACCATTTTAAAAGGCGCACGCAAAAACCACTTAAAGAAATGCTACTAAGGTTGTAACGTCAAACACTTAAAAGGTAGGAAATGCTGTATAAGGGTGCCTGTGCAGCCTTCCTTCTCTTCTCTGTATATACACCATGGTAAAGTCATATACTATTTCTTCCATAGGATGGATTGCACTAATTAATGAACAGCTATTGAGGATTTTGTTTTCTCTGTTCAACCAGTGATTCTTAACCAGAGTGCTGCAGTACCCCAGGGTGCCATGAGCTCCTTTCAAGGTGCCCCAGGATCCTGCACAATGTGACTGCTCACAGCATATACTAACTTCAGCACTGCCTGACATGCCTTAGATTTAGCACATGCTAAAGGGGGTGTAACTACACCCTCAGTCTTCTGGGCTTTTTTGATTTCCACCCTTCGCTCCAAATGAGGGAAAGATGGGAGTTGCAGGACAGAAACCTAATGCCAGAGAATAAAATCACAAGAACTCATTTAACCAAGCTGTGAACACAATGATTTTCACAGCACTATATGACCACTTGTGCATCTTTCTGCATTGTTGTAATTGGGAGAGGGATATTTCTAAGATGTGCTTATTATTACTTAAAACATCTTTTAATCAGAGTTAGATATTTTGCATTTTATCTTATTCCCTCTACCATCCTTGGGAGAAAAAATATAGCCAATTGTAACTGCTAGCCACTATCTGTTGCAACTCTAGTAAAACTGCATTATCCATGCTTATACTAAACCTTTCTGGAGCTTGGAGCTATTGAAGTGCATCCATCCCTGAATGACCAGATAGTTTACATCTAATACTTTCAGTTAACATTAATATTCTAACTAGAAAATGTCAGGACCAAAAGCCTTATTTCTTCTTAGAATATTAAGTGTACATTTCTGCATCACTGCTGGCAGTGACTGAAAATAGTAGGAGGAAGACAGGGAAAGACTAACAGAAATTATGTATTAAAATGAGCCATGAAGACACAATACTGATGTGGTGAGTCAGGGCAATATGCAAATATCTGCATGTCCTAGAAAGTCTAATCCTATCAAGAATGTGTAAGATGTTAATTTGACCATCTTTCACAGCTCATAAATCTATCTGTTGCAAAGCCAGGCTGCCAGATGCCATCAAAGTAGCACTTCTTTCAGGTTGGCAGCTTCAGCATAGATGCCTAGATCATGCCTCAGTAAAGACTAATGAAGAGCTTTGTATGCGTGGACTTGAGAGCAGCTTCTCACATTTTGTTACAATAGAGCAAAACAGTGGGAAATGTGAATGACTGATTATCAGAACTGGTGGTCTCTCCTGCTGCTTTTGACACTGTGCTATAGATTTCACATTCATTTTAAATTGTTAGTATGCAGATAAAGCTATCTGGTTTCTTAACAGTTAATAGCAGACTACCACAAGATTAGTGTATTTAATCCTCAACTATAAATACAAGTTGAGCATAGGTCTTTTCATGTGTGAAATAGATACTTCTTTTAAAATACTCAACTGTTCTTTACTCTGTTGTAGTTTTACTCCTCCCCTCCTCCATTCCCGGATTACACAGGAAGTAACCTCTTTTAGGGCAAAGAATAACATATGCTGTTCTCTACTATATGTAAACATTTCTACCATTTTCAGATGTTTAAAAGTGACATTAGTATTTTAGGCATTGGTAGTCTCAGCTTTCTTCACATGACCCTGCGTTGCTTTACCCTTACCATGTTGGACATTAGTCCAACCTCCAGAAGGGACAATCCTCCAGAAGGGGGAGACAGAAGTTGGTGTCTTCCCATCACATTAACAGTATTTTTGAGATACAAAAACTGGCCACCTGGCCTGTAGCTCCACTGCTCTTTAAAAATCACCCAGTGGGAAGATGAGCCATATGACCTTCGCTTAGCTTTTTGGTGAGAGAACAGGTTTTTTGTTCCTCAAATATCTGTGAGTTTAGGAAGGGAAGGTGGCAGGAATACTTGAAACCACTGTCCTTAGCTGTGCATCAAGTGTTGAAGCAGAAGGACCTCTCTCATTTACCTCTGACACCACCGAAGGTGTATGTGTATGGCCCTTCATCTTCTGTTATCTTTATCATATTCTTCCATGTCCTGTTTTTCTATGCTCCTCTAATTCTTACACTTAGGTATGCAGTTTAACTCGAGGATTTGCTATGACTGTTGCTGGTAATCAGGGAAGTCAGGAGTTGGGTCTGCTTCCTACTCCAGCCATAGGACCACACCAGGCTGCACCACTGACTGCACAATACCCTGGTTTGGTGACAAGCAAACTAGAGGAACTGCATTAGTAACTGTCAAGTCCTCTCTTTGGACATGAGCACAGGCGGCTACAGGTGCTAAATTACAGACCTGTTTACCCTCCCTCTCACTCCCTGCCATTGTGTAAGTCAGGATATTGGGCTAGATGGACCTATGGCCTGACCCAGCAAATGGCATTTCTTATGTCTTTATGACATCACATCAGTGGCTCAGTATCTCTAGAAGTCTATTCCTTCACGACTTCCATTCGCGTTAGACCCAATGGTCTCAGTAAAACCTTATCCTAGAACAGAGGCAATTGGAGATGCTGAACCAGTATGCTCCCACAGATATAATTTGAATCCTTTCTCTATAAATTTGAATACATTTCTGCCTTGAAATAAAACATGACATACTATATTAGCTGAGCTGGTAATCTCAGGGACACTTGATACCTTGACAACCCTGGGCAGCAACTTTAGGTGATGAACTAGAAACAGCACAGTGGCCTCAGTCTCAAAGTGACCACAAAAGGTACTGAACCAGTCATATCAGGAAGAACTTGGCCTTTTATTAAACCAGCCAGCAACATGAAGCTGTTGAGGCAGTAACTACGGAGGCCTGTGACGCAACATCAGTACAACAACTTTTAGTTGCTGAGCTAGGATTTAACCAGGGGGAATTACATGGGAGTTCCCTCTACTTAGTTAAACTACTTTTTTCCTCTTTTTGCTTCTCCTCACTACTAGGAGAGGCAGAATATGGTAATTCCTGGCTCCAGTCCTTCCTGATAGAAATTACAGGAGCCTCCTTCCTGTACAGGTTACTTTTAACCTCCTTTTTCATGTTCATAAACAGATAACACTACACTCATCAGAAATTATAGCCAATGCATCACTATTTCCTCAAAGCTCTGCAGAGGTGCTTGCTAAAGGAACTGCACATTTTAATTAAGAATTAAACTTCAGGGTACTTGTAATATTTTTAGAAGAAAGCTGATAGTTTTACTCCATTAGTACTGGGTAAGTTGCTACATAAATGGTTATGTGTATTTTTAAAATTCCAAATGTAAAAAGTGTGGCAAAGAACAAAGGTTTGAAAAGTTTTGCTATGCTATATGGGATTTTCAAAAGAAAAAATTCCTTGGGAACAAAAATCCCATTGATTTTAATTGGAACTTGGACCCCTGAATCACTTACCCACTTTTGAGAATGCCACCTGCTACAGCCCTTGTAAATACTTGCTCTTCTGCCCTCTAGTGGCCATATTTATGATAAACCACCTCAAAAGAATAAGCATGTGTATGCATAACAGGTGCTACTGGAATGCATCATGTACATTATTGCTGCAATTAACTGTTATTTTTCCCACCTTGCCTACTTCTTGGAGTTTTGCAACGGGGTCTTAATTTTAGAGATCTAAGAGTAAAGCCTCATAATTTAATGGAAAGCTTTAAGATTAATCTCTGGCAGCAAAATCTACCAATTGAAATTAATCCATGTTAAAAAGTGTTCCCTACATTCAAAACTATATTACATTCCCTTATAATTAAATAAATTTGCTGCAGTAGTCATATATATTCCTGGTAAATGTTGGTCCATATACAAGAAGCTATTAATCTGATGCTACCAGAAAACCAGTGAATTTAAATTTATTGTTAATTGGGTATGGAATGTTGTACAGTACACATAAGATACTTCAAGATGAGTTAAAAGTTTCACCTGAAAAAGTCAAAACCATCAAACCATTACAGTTTCCACCTTCAGAATGTAAGGTATGTCATGCAAAAACTAAAACAGACAAAACAAACATTGTGGTACCACTTAATGCTACCATACCACAATATTTTACAAGACATTACGTAATCATTCATACAGAATGAAATATTTTAGCAATGTAACTAAAATATCAATGTTTAAACATTTAACAGATTTCGCATGAACACCAATTCCTGCATTACAATGTTCTAAGGAATGGGCAACATGCTAGGAGAAAAGTACCTCAAAGTTCCTTTATTCACTGTCAGTATTGCTTTCTGCAACAGTTAAATTGTATGATCTTGTTCAGCACTCAGATTTCCCACATGACTTCATATGGTTCAGTACACTTCTCAAACAGAGCACAATTACATAACTACCAAACCAGAAAAAAAGAGTCATTTTGACCGATTATTACATTAAAACCATAGCATGATCCCATGTCCCACAGGCATATTATCTAATGGGACAGAGTCCTAGGTGTAGAAATATAACCAATTAAAATATGCTCTTATTCCATGTAAAATTAAGCCCAACTGTATTAAGCTCAATACCAACTGTAATTTGTTTGCATTTTATTTATACATTTCAAAAAAGTGATGCAATTAAAAACTGCAGATAAATAGATATACAGTATGCAGATGTATTAAGATGGAGTGTAAGAACTGGCAGTGCCTTCAGTTATCTGACGTGCCTTGGAAGAGGTGGTTTACCTCTATTTCATTCCTTTCCCCAAAAAAGATTTTCAAGGGACAACTGTAGCCAATAAGTTGGGAGAGTTGTTTTCTCTGCTTATGGGAAAATGCTTAAGACAGCTAGTTTCATGCAAACACATTAGGATCCTGCCCTCAGTTTCACTCAGGAAGAAGTATTGCAGAAAACATACTTCTACACTGACAGAAACTCCTACCTTTATTGTAGCTACAGCATGAACATAAACAGAGAAAGAGACAGGGCTGGTTTGAATATTTCTACCCCATGTAGAACCACAAGTTAATGGGCTTACTTCAATGCATCATACAAACATTAAATTTATTCACCCTCATCTGGTATTATGTATTCAACTTTCTTGGCTTAAATGTAAATAAGGAACTCTCTCCTTGAAGTTAGCTTTCTAGCTACATTCAGAGAAAATAATTTACTAGCTATCACTGGCAGGATTTACTAGCCTTGAACCATGGCCACTCATTAACTACACCTATACTTAAAATACAAACTCCAGGAGACAATTTAATGAAGTGTGAAACTCTGCCAAGTAGGTGGGAAATCATCTTAGTAGCCCCACTGGAGTGTCTTAGTTTCATAGATCATCATCTCTCAGGAAAGCATATTCCATAAATAAATTTAAAGAATGAGCATTTGAGTAATTGTTTCAATATTGGATAATTCTTGACTTTAATTAAAAATCAAACATATTCTTCTCTCTCTCAAATGACAAACCCTGGGATCAAACAGGCTTTGCCAATCTACTATGCATGAAGAAACAAGCAATGCAATGTTTGGGAAAGCACTTTGTACAAGATTGCAGTTCTAAAACACTTATATTACAAAGCAATGTAAATAAATACCAGGCTAGTACAAAAGCTCTTATTTACAGTTTTACAAATGAATTGTATTCAGTGTAAATGTAGTGTTTTAAAGAACACAGTATTAGTAAAACAAGTTTGTGTATAAAGCATAACAATTTCTGTTTGATATCAATGTAGTATTGTATAAAAATGATAGTTCAAGTTATCTTCTGTGTATAATTTAGTACAGGCAAACCCAGATTACCTGGAATGGCATCTGTTAAAGTGCTGAAAAAGAGGAAGTTTTGAAATTTTAGAAAACGTACTGTACATTATTAAAGCTTTATCAAGTCAAAATGCTATCTTTTGTTCACATTTTCACCGCATCACTTGTAGGTAAAAGATTTTCAACAATTCAGTATCATTTAGAAGGTGTAGGTTGTTGGTATCTTCATCCTCAGGTCTGACGATTTCCAAAAGCAATTTCTCAAGCTTCTAAAGTGACTTCTGGTTTCATAATTTGGTAAGTAATCAAATATTCTGGATAAGCCTGAAAAGAGAAATTAGTTAGGCAAATGATTCAGTAAGACCAATGTTCTCAGCAAATTCATAACACTTCTTACAGGATTATTTTCAACCTGATTTAAAATGAAATACTTATGTCGGATGAGAATTGGCAATCATCTCAAAAGTTCTATGTAAACAAGGACCTCTGGTTCTCTTTAAAACATTGGGCTCTATCTATATAAATTGAAAAGCAAGCCCTGACATTCTAAAATAGTGTCCTATATGTTACTGAGGGAAAATAATGGGTGCTTATTAAAATAAAATTTTTGAAAAGTAAACCAAAAAACCCACTACCTGTTCTCCTCTGTAAATGACATACTCTGCTAAAGCTAGTCCATTTACACTTGGTCGACCAGTAACTGAATGATGTCCTGGAGGAGAATGAGCCATTTTCATTGCACTGAACTGCAGGAAAGATTTGCCCAATGTTACGCGGCAAAACAGCAACTGCCTGTATTAAAGAAAAAAGCCTTTACAAATAAAAATGTTTGGAAAAGAAGAAAAACATTTTTTGGTAATTCGAAAGTTTTATTCAGTGGGAGAACCATGTAACTCAACTATAACAGCAATTTTTCATATTCAGCAAATTTTGAAGGCTTATTCATAGTGTTAGGAATGTAAAGTGTTCTTTACTCCCTGGCTCCTTTTCCTAACCTAAACAGTTTTTTCTATCCAAGCATATGCATATTATAGTAAGAGCTACTGTAAACAGAATGTTAATGATTACGTCAAAAGATTATTATCTCAAGTCCTTACTTTTTTTGGAAAAAACATTAAATCACTGATACTAACAGAGGAAACCTACATAAAACTATGCATTACTGTATTTCCTCAAATTTCAGATGACCTCCCCCCTTAACAATTAGATTCTAGATATGGAAAATATGTAAAATTTGTTATAAATTTTCAGGTTTAGAATCTAATTTTTGGAGGATCATCTTAAATTCATCACCCCCCGCTACTGCTGCAGTGGGGAAACCAGTGGCAGGGGGCAAAGTGGGTGGTTGGTGGGGTAGGTGGCAGGGAAGTCAAGTGGCCTGACACCTGCTGCATATTCCCCACCCACACTTGCCCTCCTGACTGCCTGCCCCCTCACCCCCCCCATCCCTGTACCCTCCCTGCTCCCTAACCTGCACTCCGCTCACCTCTCCCTCTACCACCGCTTACCTTCTCCTTGCACCTCTGGCTCCTGCCAGGGCCCTGCTTTAGCAGAGGATAGGGATCACACAGTACAGGGTGCCTCTGGCCCTAGCCCAGCCATGCAGAAGCTGTTGCAATGGGAAACAGCTTAAGTCCTGGCCTTGGAGCCAGAGCCAGAGCTGCACCTGCCACCGTATGGTTGGGCTGCAGACAGGATGGGCTCCTAGGCCTGAACAGAGCCCTGCTAGAGCTGCCAGAGGACGTTAAGACATAGTCAGTTTAATAGATTCCAAAGAAATTAGGGCTGGAAGAAACCTCACGAGATCATTGAGTCCAGATCCCCTACCCAAGTGGCAGGAAGTCAGCTGGGGTCAGACCCCAGCAAGATAAGCATCCAAACACAACTTGGACATGTCCAGAGTAGGTGCTTGCACCACTTCTGGGGGAAGTCTATTCCAGATTCCAGAGACTCATACAGTAGAGAAGTTTTTCCTTATGTCCAGTCTAAAATGGTTTTCCAGCAGTTTGTGACTGTTGGACCTCATCTTCCCTAAGGGAGGCTGGTGAACAGATGTTCTCCCAGGTCCTGATGTACACCTGATGTACTTATGGGCTGCCACCAAGTCTCTTCTGAGGGAATTACAAAGGCAGAGGGAATTAGAAATTGCAGGGGGCAGGTGGCCGGAAGGCAGTGACTGAGGCAGCAACTCTGACCGCAGAGCGAAGCTGGGGAAGCCTCTTAAAAATGAAGAGGAACATAAGATTAGGAGGGACAATGAGACAGATCTCCAACCACCATCCCATTCCTCTGAAACCTGAGAGACAATGGTATGTGTGGATTTAATTTCCTCTCCTTTTCTGGTTGAAGTCATGGTCTAATGAACACTGCAGGGCAAGATAACGCTGCCTCTGGGTTCAACTAAGTTAGCAAAAAGGTGCTCACTTTCTCAAACATGAGACTGAGGATTCAAGGGAAAGTTAGAAACATACTATATTTACCGGGATCCAAGACAACTTTGAATTTCACATGACCCCCATTTCCAATAACTAGATTCTACACATGGAAAATTTAAAATTTATCATCATTTTCCATGTACAGAATCTAATTATTGGAGGGATGTCTTAAATTCATGCCCCACAACTGTGGTGGGGAAAGCACAGGGGGGAGGGCTAGGAGCCAGACCCCACCTCCTTGTCCCACCATATACCCACTGAACCTACATGCCTATATAATTGCCCCCTTCTACCTATTCCCCCACTTGCCTGTGTCTGCTCCCCCACTGCCTTCTGAGCTGCTCTGGCTCCAGCTTTGGGAAAGTCAGCAGCAGTATCAGCCCTGGCCCATGCACAGCCAGGCAAATAGTGGCACAGCTCTGGG